AGGAAAAAATATGTTTTAAATTATTAACGTAACTCACAAGATCTTTACAGTATGGCTCTCTCCTTCCATCTCTTGATAATTTCCCTGTCATTTAAGGTTTTTGCCACAGAGCATGTGTGTTTGCCAGAGACAGACAGAGAGAGGGAAAGTGAGAAACCACCCCCACATATACCCAGTGGGTGTGTAATTCCTTCTTCTCCAATCTCCTCTTGAGATTTTGGGCATGTATATGCATGCACCTGGCATGATTTTCAAGCCACAGGGTCCAGGACTTGAACCATGGTCAGTCACATGGAAATACAGCACCTTAACCACTACACTACTTGTTGGCCCTATCCCTATCATTTCTTAAGCCCCAAGCACATAAGCCTTTAAGTTTCTAGAACAAAATGAGCACATCACACTTCAGGGCCTTTGCATATATTGTTCTTTCCCTGCAGCGTTCTTTTCACATGTCTAACCCCCACTTATTTTGATCTTAGTAAGCTTACATGGTTCTAAATTAACTGAAGTCATTTCCTAAAGCCCCCTTCCATAATCCTTCTTAAGACCTATGTCCCCCATTAACTGTTATATTTCATAGCATCTACTGAAGCTATAAATTGTTAGTATTATAATAATGCCTTTAATGTATGCATCCCTTGATGATGGGCAGCGAGTTCCTTCACTATCTTTCATCATTTTCTCTGTATTATACACACAGCAAGTGAATGACTGACGTCCTTTCATTCTTGTGAGCCATTTTCAAACTTGGCAGGATTAACCTACCTAACCTCATAGCTAGGAGATTTTGCTAGAAAAACCAACACTTTTTCTACTGATAAAGTGTTAACCAAGCTTAAATCATTTTCTTTTAGAGTTCCCTTTTGGTTTATAGTCACTATTGATTCATACTAAACTGTAAATTAAATAGTGCATGAGAATCTTATGAGGGCATGTTGCTTAAATAAAAATAAACTAAAATTGGATTGCAATGCTCCTACAGAAAGGGATAAACAGATGACCTAGAAAGTCAACAATGCTAAGGGGAAAATGAATTGCCTGATCTTTTAGGGACTAGAAACTAGATTTCCATTTCAGAATAGGCAGCAAAGTATCTAATTCACCAGGAGAAAATAACTAAAAACATCACTTGGTTGTTCCAGGATTAAAGAAGTTACTGGGATTTCTAATTTCACCTTTCATTGCAGTTCTGCACTGAAATCTAACAGATGCTTTAGTACCCAAAAAGCCAGGTGTCAGCAATATCAAGTAACCACCAAACTGATGAGAGGCGGTCCTTTCCAAGTTTCTAAAACACCTACACATGCAATTTGGATTTGTTTTTCAAATGTTTCAGAGATTACAGGACTGGAAATGTACTTTATAGGGTCCCTCACTACAATGGGAAGTCCTTGAAGATTTCTATTTCCATGTTTACACTATGGCATGTGTAAAATGCTGGGCAGTTTATGCCATTGTAAAAGCTACTGTGCAATACTACTTGTTTTGGGAGGCTTTTTGATAAGCTCATGGATTCTGAGGAGAGTTTATTTCATAAAGCAAATAGATAAGAGAGCAAGAGATGGCATATTGGTTAAATTGCTAGACACATACATGTTGAACCATAGTTTGAGCCCCAGACCTGGTGTCTTGAAAATCATGCTAGGCACGAGTATGTGAGTGCCCCAAATACTAAGAATGGAGGAAAAGGAATTGCAGTGTACCCATATCCCCTTAGGGGTAATATTTCAGTTCCCTCTCACTGTTTCTCTCTCTCTCTGATAAGTGCATGAGCCCAATGGTAAAAACCGTAAAAACACAGACAGACAAGTTTACAACAAAGAAGGAAAATTCCTCTTGCCTCTGGGAAGCCAAAGGTTATCAGAGATGGTAACTACATGTGTTTTAGCACCAACTAGAAGAGGACAACCAGCTATAACAATCCCTCCTCATTTTGCTTGAGGACTGGCCAATCAACATCCCCTTCTCCATGTCTAAGTGTCAATGAAAACAAGCAAAGATTTTTCACACCATTGTGCCTGTACACACTCAACACCTCCAAACGTATACATCAGTAAAGGTCAAACATATGTATCCTATTGTTTGAATATCACTTTTAAACTCATGCCAGCTTGGGACCAGCAGATGATATAATGGTTACATCATGGGCTTCTATATGGTCGACTGAGGCTTGTGTCCTGGACCCAGTGGCTTAAATTCATGCCGGACGTGTGTGCGTGTGTGCCCAAGATTCTGAGAAGAGAATGGAGGAGAAAGGATTGTGGTGTGGCCATCCTCCCTGGGGGGTGATTTCTCACTTTCTGTCTCTCTGTCTCTCTTTCTCTCTGGCAAGCACACACGCCCTATAGCAAACACCTCTCCAAAAACAAAAACCCTCATGCCAGGTGTGCCCTAGATCTAAGGCCAAAAAACAGACATTGGCCCTGTCCTTACTTTGTAGAAATTTGCTAACCAATCAGGAGTATCTTTAATTTGTATCTAACACAGTAATAGATTCAATATGGAATGAAGTTTAGGATTGGTCTGCTACCTCTGTCTGTCTCCCCACTCCTGCTCTGCCAGTCAAAATTCTTAGTTAAGTCTGGGACCAGCAGTTAGTTTAATGGCTATGTTGCTGGACTCCCATGTAATCGACTGTGGTTCGAGTCCCGGACCTGGTGGCTTAAACTCATGCCGGGCGCATGTGTGTGTGTGCCCAAGATCCAAAGAGGAGAATGGAGAATAAGGGATTGCGATGTGGCTATCCCCCCGGGGGTGATTTCTTGCTTTCTGTCTCTCCGTCTCTGTCTTTCTGGTGAGTGCACATGCCCTATAGCAAAAACCTTAAAAAAAAAAAAAAAAACTTCTTAGTAAGTCTGAAGCATGCTACAGATATAAATACTCTTCTGTAAAACAGGTAAAACTACATGATTTCATCAAGACAGGCACAGGATTATCAATTTGGTAATCCACCATGTACTGATTTTTTTTTTTTAAGTAAAAGGACACTTTCACAGAAGTTTTCATTGAAGAGATCATTTTATACACATGATTTTAGAAAACGCAGGTAAGCAACTAGAGATTACAAAGAAAAACATGTTATTAGGAAATCTCCAGGTCGTAAGTGTCTATTTCTTGGACATCTTGACCCTCACCTTTTCCACACTCCTCTCGGCCCTCACTGGCCCCCACTAACCTTCTTGAGTAGCTCCAACCTGTCCTTTTCTCTCCATTGCTTCTACCATTGCCTTAGGTCTGGCCCTCATTGGTTTTCACTTAGAATATCCTGGTGGTTTCTTCACTGAATTCTCTGCACATGGATGCACACAAAATTCGAGTTAATTATAGTACCATATTGTGTGATAGGCAAATTTGTACACTAAGCTTTGAAAACAAGGAAAGGAAGCCACGCATTCTTTGGAGAAGTGACAATCCATGTTTTGATCTGAGGAACGCTAGGAGGGTTTCTGGCTCATAAAATAATTGTGGTATGAGAGTTCGAAGACAGCTATTCTTCCTCTGGCATTTATGGGGTCTGCTATATACAAAACATTGTCTTAATCCTTTCTCTCATTCTTCAAACTATTGCCTTGTTTACATCTGAGGAACCTGCAGTGACTGTGAGAAGCAGAATTCAAACCCAGGTAGTCTGGCCCCAGAGTCTATGTTCTCCATTTCCATGGCTCCCAGAGAGCAGGGATATGTTTTACTCACTATCATATACCTAGAGCCTGAGTTGCTGGCAAGTACATAAAAAGAGTAGTAACCAAATACTACTGGAAAACAAAACTTGAGAGACAATGTGTGCTCAGATGCTAGAAAGAGCTCTGCGTAACACTCCCTAAACAATCAAGAGAACCGCATGGTGGGGACAAAGAACACGCACTTGCTGATTGCATTCCAGGTGTCCTGCTCTGACCTGGGATGCATTACGAACCTGACCACATTATTCCCCTCACTGCACTGATGAGCATTTTTTTCGTCAACTTTGATGGGAAACAGAACTCCTTGACTGACAGATGAGAGCAAATACACCATTTAAGGTCTAGACACAGAGGGCCACACTGAGTCTCATTCTGTATCCCTCACTGCCCTAGTAAGTGGGTATTCACCTGGGATAAAGCTGTTTGTTATAACAAGGGGAAATCTCACAAAGTTCTCAGAAAAATGTAAGCACACGTTTATTTGGGTGCAAAAAACATTTTGAAATCCATATACAAAGTATTTTATTTTTTGGTAATATGTACTTTTCATGAAGTTTCTGAATCCCTTCATATAAAAATATATTTATAACTACTTACAACTGCAGCTCCAGGAAGAAAACATGAATAATGTGAGTTCTACCACCCCCCTGGCCTTCTCTCTGGGTACTCCACGGCTTCCCCTACAAAACAGGTCTGTGGAACTAGTTCAAGCTACCTGGGCAGGGTGATTAAATCTCTTCCCAACCTGGGCCCTGACTCAAAGCCTCTCTCCCATCTTTCTAGCCAATAGTCAGTTGCATCCACAATCGTTAGTCCTGTTTGGAACCCTTCTCCTTACTTCAGGACTTTGAGAGTTAGGCCCTTAACTGAGAAGTTAAACCCATCGCTCCAAATCTTGCTTAGGTGTGACCTGTTACAACTTTGCTTAACCCTCTTCCTCCGGCATTGTGTGTCTGTCTAGTCATACTCCCCTAGTTTATCACATGGCTTGCCTTTGTTTTTGTGGGTCTTCCCTAGGAGACCGTCCCTGGAGGCAGGCTCTTGTTTTAGTCTCCCAAATACCCTAAGCGCCAAGTAAATCGCCGCTGTATGAGGAACTGGGATCGCAACAGGTAACCGAGTCCCTCAAGATGAGAAAGCAAGCAAGCCTTGAAAGTGAAATTAAACACAAATGGAAAGGTCTGAGCTCATCTCCAATTTGAATTTTCTTTCGCAATACAACTCCAGATTCCAGGTCCCAGGGACTTGGAGCCTGGGGGCGGGGGTGGGGTCCAAGAAATTAGGAGGGATGGGACCCGAGAAGAAGTCACTCACCAGCTGGTGGAAGGCGAGTGTGTGTTCTCTAGCGTTTTGGTCCAGGGCTTGTACCAGCTGATCTGCTCTGCAGCCTTGCCCCAGAACCTCTCGGGGTCGGCCACCGAGGCCGCGAAGTGGGTCTTGTACTCGCTGCCGCCTCCCGAGGACAGCGAACGACAGCTCCGGCCCCCAAGACCGCCCCGCGGGCCAGGGGCCACCAGAGCCCGGCGGGCTGCGCTGGCTCCCCGGGCCGGAGTGGACCCAGGCAGGGGTCCCCCGAGGCCCCCGGCGCCAGTGACTTTGCGACATTGCAGCCAAGAGGGCTTCATCGCGACCGACGGCCAGGCGCAGGCTGTGCTGCCCGCGGTCCCAGAGTGCGCTCCTTAGGCAATCGCCGGCGCTCGCAACTTCCTGGGGCCCGAGGGTAGCTAGCCCGAGGCGAGGGCAAATTCCAAAGGGAGAACGGGGCCCACAAGTTTGTGAGTCTCTCCACAGTCGCCGGGAAAAACCGACCTGGAGCCTCCAGAGAAGCAACAGGCTGGAGTGGGGGCTCCCGAGGGAAGGAGTTTCACAGCGTCTTGTTATGCAACTGCAAGAAATCCAACCCCCACCTGCATTTCCAACGAAAATCGCAGAATCTCCTCCCGATGTCGACACTCAAGTACTCCTAGGACGAAGCCAAAGTACCCAGCACGCTGTCGATTTTCAAACAAGTTGTGCACAGCTGCCCTGGTTTATCTTTGGGGACGGTGTTGGTGAGGCGGCGTCGCCTTGGGCCAGCAACGCTGGGTATTGCAGCCAGGTCCCTGAATTGTTTTGTTTATTTATTTTTAGCTCAGCTCAATTCTTGGTAATTAAAAACACCAGCGACTCCGGGAAAGATGACTCCAGGATTTCCGGACAACTGAGAGGGTAGGAGGAGTGGAAGGAGGTGGCACCCGCGGAATTGGGAAGAGTTTTGTAGGATGATTGACAACTGCTGGGATGAGGAGTCACCTGCTGACTGAATGCCCCTAGGAGCTAAAGGCAGAGAGCAGGAAGGACTCCTTGTATTCACCCCCTTCTAATTTGCCTCTTGGGAGTTTTTGTGGCCTTTGTTTTTTCTGATGAGGAGACCAAAGCAAATGTATAAAAGAGCTAAGTAAAGACGAAATGAATCAGAAAATTAAAAAGAGGACACTTGGAAAGTGAAAAGAAAAATTGGTCTGAATTATTGTCTTCGTTCATCATTCTTCAAGCTCTGTTTTGAAATTCATATGCAATCTTTTGCCTTAATATTATGCCAAACATATTCCGTCTTGACATGAAAATATTTGCAGCATTAAATATAAAGATGCAAAATATAAAATTTGAGGTGATGGGACCAGCAGATGGCAGAATGGTTACATCATTAGACTCCCAAGTAGTCGACCCCGGTTTGAGTCCCAGACCCGCCTTAAAACTCATACCGGGCTTGTGTGCATGTGTTCCCAAGATCCCAAGAGGAGAATGGGCGAGGATGGATTGTGGTGTGGCTATTCCCCTGGGGTTGGTTTCTTGCTTTCCGTCTATCTGACTCTCTGGTGCATGCACCCTATCGCAAAAAAATCTGTGTCTCAAAAAAAATTGAGTTGAGAATTAGAATACTCTCTGACCCTGGGATTAAGCATAACCTGAGATACTGTAAACAACCCTGCTGGAGAAGAATAAGGCAGAAATAAAGGCTAACCACAACAGAGGTATGTCTAATGGAAAACAGAGGTTTCTTTAAATAACCACCTCCTAGCCCTGTGTAATTGAGAAATAAGCACTAGATTTTTTCCAGATATCTGGAGTCTACTTTATTCCCTCCAAGTTTTCACGTAATATCTGCAAAAGGCAAAAGGCAAAATACACTGTCACCAGAGAAATGTATAAAGCCATTTAACTTCTTGGCATCCTCCTCCCTCCTCCTCACTCACTTAATGGTACTTTCCAATATATAAATTTCTCTGGCCCCATATTAACCCCCACCATATTCCAGTGATGTCCAGTTTAGTTATTTATTTAATGAACATATGAGCACCCACATTGTGCAAGTAGGGTTTGTTTGGGAAGGTATGAAAAAGACTCAGAAAACTAGTTATGGTGTCTAGTGTGTGTGCACATTGTGCTGGATACTTTTAAAAAAAGTTAGCTCTTGTGACTCTCTTAAGATTACTAAGTGGGAACTATAATCCTATGTTTACAAGTGGAGCTTGGAAATGGATCTACTTGTGAGACCAGCAGTTAGCATAATGGCTATGTCACTGGACTCCCATGTAGTCAACTGCAGTTCAAGTCTCGGATCTAGTGGCTTAAACACGCCAGCCGCTTGTGTATGTGTGCCCAAGATCTCAAGAGGAGAGTGGAGGAGAAGATATTACAGTGTGGCCATGCCCCCTGGGGGTGATTTCTCACTTTCTGTCTCTCTGTCTCTCTCTGTCTTTCTGTAGTGTGCATGCACCCTATAGCAAAAACCTCTCAAAAACAAAAACAAAACAAAACAAAAACAAATAAACAAACAAAAAAAACCAGAAGGGACCTACTTGCTAAAGGCCATACAGTCAGGGCTCAAACGTGATTAATGTTCGAGCTTCAGATCTAGGATGCCTTAAATCACAGGTGAGCTGTGATACTGATCACCTCTACCTCAAGGTAGAGGGTGTGGGGACAGTGCACTTCAGTACTGTCTCTCTGGAGTACTGTACTGTATCAACATTATCATTTTCTCTCTGTGCTCTGCCTTGAATAAGGAAGAGAAATCTGACTACAAATCTATCATTTTCACATCAGGCTGATCATCTTCCTGCTTTTTTTTTATAAATGTAGATTTTCTGGAATATATTACAAATTAACTACCTATATCCATTCTGCTCCCTTAAGAAACACCACCAAAAAACAAACAGGGCAGTGGTGGTGGTGGGAAACCTACAAGAACAAAGAGAACAAGAAAGAAGAAACCAATTAACAGAATGAAATGAAGTCGGATCTGTGCTGTATAACTTAAAAGGGGACATGAAAACCTGAATTTAACTGTTCGTGGGGAAAAAGGGTTTCCTTCTTTAGAAACCTGAACTGTTGGGACCAGCAGATGGCATAATGGTTTTGTTGCTGGACTTCCACATAGTTGATGGCAGTTCAAGCCTCAAACCCAATAGTTTAATACTCATTCTGGGCACTTGTGTGTGCATGCCCAAGAGGAAAAGGGACTGCAGCATGGTATCCTCCTTTGGGGAAGATTTCTCACTTTCTTTCTCTCTGTCTCTCAGGGCAAGCACATATGCCTGACAGCAAAACTCTGAAAGAAAGAGAAAGAAAGAAAGAAAGAAAGAAAGAAAGAAAGAAAGAAAGAAAGAAAGAAAGAAAGAAAGAAAGAAAGAAACCAGGAGTGTCTCAGGATTTGGAGACTCAGGGTTCCTCTAATGGTTCAGAAGGAATACCAGGGTTTAAAAAACAGAAGGAATGATTAAACCATATGAGGAGGGTCCAGCAGATGATGTAATAGTTACATCACTGGACTCCCATATAATCAACTGCAGTTTGAGTCCTGGACCCAGTGGGTCTCAAAATCCTGAGAGGAGAATGGAGAAGGGACTGTGGTGTAGCCTTCCCAGCCCCTCCCAGGGGGGAGGGAGGAATGATTTCTCACTTTTTGTCTCTATCTCTCCTGCAAGCGCACATATCTTATAGCAAAAATCTCTCTCTTAAAAAAAGAAAAAGAGCAATGAGTAGATTCTCACATGGCCAGGTGAAACCACTTCCTCTGGAACTATCATTACATCATCATCTCCTCCTTAAGTAGTAATATAGACTAGATTGTTAATATAAGCTCTGCTTCAGGCTAAGAGGAGGATGTGAGTAAAGGCAAGATCCAGCAAAGCAAGGAGTCTGGTTAGAGAACATGTAGCCTAAGGCACAGCAATATAGGGCAATAGGACTAGAAGCTGCCAATATAGTGGGTTAAGAGGTTAAATAAGGGTCAAATGCAGGGCAGGGCCTGAGGATAAGCCATTGGCCTTTAAGATACCAAAAGCTTCTTGATTGATCACTAAGCTTATGAAAACCTTAAAACCATTAGCCATTGAGTCTGTTTGAATCTTACTATTGCTCCTTATTAGGTGTGGAAATTTGAAATGCTTACTAACTTTCCTACCCTGAAGTTTCTGAGTCTTCTGAGTCTGTAATCTGAGGCTGTTAGTCTTTTTTAGTCTTTTTTTTTTTTAAATGTGTCAGCATTTTATAAATTTTATTTACATTTTTTAATACATTAAATCACATTATTTAGCTTACAGGCTGTTATTCTTACCTCACAGGATTATTGTAAGGTTTAAACCTGTGTCAATTGTTTAGCATTAGCGCTGAAGCAAGCCCAGGTCATTTAGGACGGCAGCCAAACCTGTGAACAATCAGCTCCCCCAAATCAACAGTGAAAAGCTTCAGCCTTCCTGGACTTGGCGGCTTGCTTTCCCACTTTCTCTCACTCTGTCCCTCTCTGGTCAAATTAAAATAAAAATAAATAAAGTTAAATAAAATAATTCTTAAAAACAAAAAAGCTTCAGCCTTGGCACCAGCAGATAGCGAAATGGTTATGTCCCGGAGTTCTACCTAGTCAACCGCAGTTCAAATCCTGACTCTGTGGTTTAAAACTCACGCCAGGCAGGCATACCTAGGATCCCAAGAGGATAATGGAGGAGAAGGGATTGCTGTGTGGACATCTCCCTGAAGAACGATTTCTCACTTTTTGTCTTGCTGGTGAGTACACATGTCCTACAGCAAAAATCTGGTTTCATTAACATATCTCAAATTTTATAATCAGAACAGTTCAAAAATTATTTTAAAGGTATTCATGTACATGTTTTACTATTTCAAAAATTAAAATTATATTTTAATTAATTTGTGAGACAGGGTAATCACAATGTATTTAATGCTATGCTAATAGTCCAACTTTTTAATACATGATGTGTAGAGTATGTCAACATAGTATAATTGATCTGTTTTCAAGATGTCATTTCACTACCTTAAGCAAGCATCCATTGATAAGATTATCTGAGAGATTATGTGAGATTCACTTTCTCAAAAATGGAAAGCAACCTGATGGAGAGGGTACTGAGAACAGGTAATTGAGGGACTAAAGAGGTATGAGAAGATGCTCAAGAAAGCAAGAGGGGAAGGAGAAGGAAACTGAAATCAACATCTAATGCCTAAGGAAAAGATATTGAAAAATAGGAAAACAGTGGAATTAGAATGAAAAGAGAAAACAGATATAGAAATCCCATTACTCTATTTTCTTGTACTTTACACTTTTGCCTAGTAGTCCTCATTAATACAGGCTAATCTTTTTAAAGAAAGAGTACAAGTGATTAAAGAGTACATAATTAAAAAAATACAGATTAACCTAGTCATACCCCTGGGGAGATGGCCACACTACAATCTCTTATCCTTCATTCTCCTCC